TCCGGTCTAGTTCCGGGCGGTCCCCGGCTCCTTTGCACACCTCTAATTTGATGTGCAAGTCTTAGGAGAATTTAGTGTATAATGGAATATTTTTGGCGCCTTTGAAATTTTGCGTTAGAAGGATTTACTTACTCTTAAAAAAGGGGAAAATCGTCCAAAAAGTTTTAAACTTATTGCACTTTTACTTATTAAGTCCTAAGCTTTTTTCATATTTTGCCAATTGAGTTCATCCGGCCAATTTTAATCGGAAGTCAATGACGTGGACACCGGTAGTGCCACGTAGGATAGCTGGCATTGACGTGGACATTTTTAATAATATTTTAATATTTGTTTAATTTTTTTCTTTCTTTTCCTTTTTCTTCTTTCAAGTTTGCTAAGGGTCATTGGCCCTCGGCTGCCCTCGCTTGTGGTCGGCAAGGGTTGGCTAGTCCTCGCTTGTGGTCAACTAGGGTCAACCGGTGACCCTTGCCGGACTTGGAAGAAGAAAAAGAAAACGAAAGAAACAAAAAGAAAAAAACACAATTAAAAAACTAAAAATATTATTAAAAATTATCCACGTCATCGCCGGTCATGCTATATAGGATGGTGGGCATTCCATGTTAGTGATTTCCAGCTAAAATTGGCCGAATGGACTCAATTGGCAAAACGTGAAAGGTTTAAGACTCAATTGGCAAAATTGAAAAGTTTAGGACTAAATAGGCAAAAGTGCAATAGATGTAGGACTGAATAGGCAAAAATGCAATAGGTTTAGGGCTTTAGGACAAATTTCCCCTAAAAAATGGTAAAACTAAAAGTTCTGTCCTTTTTAAATTCTAGATATCAAGGGCTATCCTAGTATGAGTAAGACTGGCCGTAACTAATGCTCTTGATGTAGATATGTTTTAGCAGAAACCTCCCCAGAATGTCGTACATAAAGGGCTATAATTGGAGTCATAGTTAGAGATGGACTGATCCTTCCATTGGTTATCTTGTCAGGGCTATAATTTACATACTTTAAATTGAGTTACCGGCCATTCAATCACATTCATGATATCGGTTTTCTCTCTTCTCTCGGAAGAGCTTTCTTCTGCCCATCGGGGTAGCTTAGCAAAAGGTAACCCTAACCTCATAACCTCCAGCTCAACTCGCTTGTGAATGCTTCCCTCTACCCTTGAAGCAAGTTCAGTTGAGGTAATCCCTAAATGTTGCTCTCTCTCTCTCCCCTCTTCTGGCTCTTTCACTTTGAGTCAATATCTGATTCTCGGCAACCCAATGAGTCGTAATCTAAATACCCACCCAAAACCCATCATCTTGTTTCCTCATAAAGATCCGAACTCGCAAATCCAACCCTTAGAACTCTCGCTGTAGAACCCCTTGGTGAAGGCGAGAGATCCTAGTCTCGTCCAGTTCGGGGCTTCATAGCTATGGTGGGTTGTGTACACTCCAATGGAGTCGGATGATGACGCAAACCAGAGGCTTGCCCTGCTCTGCAAACGATTAGGAAGATTGTGGTCAGACAAAGTTACTAAGAACGTGGAAGGCATTCTGGCATCAGCAAAAGGTAAGGATGGTAGACTAACGCTGATAGGGCAACTTCTAAAAAATCCAAAAATCAACTTTCAAGCTCTCCAAAACACTATGAGGAGAGCGTGGAGAGTGGAAAGTGCAGTATTAACACCTTTAGAGCAGGGTATTTTTCCTATAACCTTTGATTCCCTAGCTATGAGGAATAAAGTGATGGACCTTGGTCCTTGGTCTTTCATGAATAATCTCTTGATCTTGAAACCATGGGAACCAAACACCTCTGCGTTGAGTTATAGATTCGATTCAAGTGACTTCTGGGTTCATATTCTGGGGCTCCCTTTCGAGTGGCTTTCTGTGGAAGTTGTTCGCGAGGTAGCTGGAAATATAGGCCAAGTACAAGAAGTTAAAATTGAAACAAGAGAAATGGTGTCTTACGGAAGGGCGCAAGTGACGTTGGATCTCAACTTACCCCTACAGTCAGGCATGCTTGCTGATAATGAATGAAAGAAAATTTGGCTGGATTTTAAATATGAGAGGCTCCCTTATTTTTGTTTCTCCTATGGAAAAATAGGACATTATGCTTCAGACTGTGAGGAGTTGCCATTTAGTGTCGAAGATGTGAACACAGAGGAGGACAGACTTTTCGGCCCTTGGCTGAAGGCTGAAGTAAGCAACAATAGTCCGTTTCGGAAGCTATTTCACGGCAAAGACTTAGCTCAACCAATGGAAGAGGAGAGAATCCCGGACACACCAATACACTCTGGACAAATAGTAATCTATGGAGAGAGCAGCTCGACCCACATCCAGCAAATTCCTCAATCAGAAGAGGAAAACGCAAAAACTAAACTCACTGGAAGGAGCAGTTCAGAAGATCAAAGTGAGCAACATGTTAAAATTCCCGTATTCTTGGTTCATGACCAAGGACTTCCCAAGGAACTAAATTCCATCATGGTTCAAGCTGGCTCAAACAAAAAGAAGTTAAGTGGCAAGAAAACTCTTGTGCGGAAGAAGACCAGAAGGTTCAGCCCATATGACTCTCACGGGGACAAACCGTTACTATTAGATGAAGATCAACCGCTGTGGTGGCTAGCCCTAATAAGCCACCGGAGCCATTATGAAAATCATAAGCTGGAACTGTCAGGGGTTGGGCACACCTCTGACGGTCCAGTATTTGAGAGCCTTAGTGGCTCAGGAAAGGCCCGAACTACTCTTTCTTATGGAAACAAAGAACCGAGAAGAAAGGATCCAAGGGGTACGGAGGACGTTGAAGTTTGATGAATGCTTTGTTGTCAATCCAAGGGGAACAAGGGGTGGCTTAGCAATTTTGTGGAATGCTCAAGCGGCACTATCAATCTTACATGCTTCAGATGAAGTAATAGTTATCGAATGTGAAGAGGAGATCTATAAAACGAAGATGAGAGTTACGTTTGTACATGCACCATCAACTTTCCAAGAAAGATCCAAGACGTGGGATGAAATCTATACAATTAGCCAGAGAAACCAGCTGCCTAGGGTAAGCTTGGGGGACTTTAATGAAATAATGTACCATTGGGAGAAGGTGGGCAAACGTTTGGCCGAGCACTACAGACTTCATACATTTAGGGAGTTTTTACATAGCTGTGAACTAATGGACCTAGAAAGCAAGGGTTGTGCATATACCTGGTCTATCAATCGTGAAGGAGATGAGCTTGTGAAGGAAAGACTGGATAGAGCAGTTAGCACCATGAGATGGAGATTACAGTTCCCTGAGGCAGAAGTGCACGCATTACGGGCTGTTGGTTCTTATCACTGCCCGATCCTAGTAACTATACATCTAGCCCAAAAGAGAAAAAAGAAGAGTTTCAGCTTTGAAGCGTACTGGTTAGAGGACGAGGAATGCAGAGAGGTAATTAATAGGGCATGGTATTCTACAGCGACAAAAAACGAGGGCCTCGGGACAAGGATGAGAAAGGCTGTTGTTGCCCTACAAAGCTGAAGCAAGGGGAAGTTTACCAATGGGCAGGGGAGAATAAAGATCCTAATGGAACAAATACAGTCCATCACAAACCAGCCAACCGCAGGGAAGGACAAAGTACAACTGCAAAAGTTGAGGAATGAGGTTCAAAGGCTATGGAGTCAGGAGGAAATGTATTGGGCTATGCGCTCGAGGATCAATTGGCTAAAGTGGAGGGATCAAAACACCAAGTTCTTTCACGCCTCAACTATACAAAGGAGACAGAGAAACAAAATCTCAATGCTGAAGGATAATATAGGGAATTGGACCCGTGAACAAGAGCAAATAAAGATGATGTCCTATGACTTCTTTAGGGACCTGTATACCTCAGTTGGTCAAAGACAATTCACCCCACTACTTCAATATTGCTCTTGTAGAGTCAAGCAGGAAACAAACATCAGGCTGCTCGAGGAAGTTACAATAGAGGAAGTCAAGCAAGCCACCTTCCAGCTTGGTTCTTCGAGTGCCCCAGGTCCGGATGGTTTGAATGGACAATTCTTTCAACATTACTGGAAAGATATCAAGCAGGAAGTAGTATCAGAGGTCAGGAATTTCTTTCTTAATGGTGTGCTTGACCCTCAGTTGAATAGAACACTTATCTCCTTGGTGCCAAAAGTAAAAAACCTAGAGAAGCTGGAAGAGTTTAGACCCATAAGCCTGTGCAATTTCGCATATAAGATCATTTCGAAAGTACTAGCAAATAGGCTGAAACCATGGCTCCCAGAGTTGATAGAAGCTGAACAGAGTGCCTTTGTAGGAGGACGGCAAATTCAAGATAATATTCTTGTTGTACAGGAAGTCTTACACCAAATAAGGGTTCGGAAGCGTAAACGAAAATTTCAGGCGGTTCTAAAGCTAGACATGCAAAAGGCTTATGATCGGATTGAATGGGATTTCTTAAAGGCTTGTATGATCACAATGGGGTTCGATGAAAAATGGGTAAATTTGATAATGCAATGCGTTACAACAATCTCTCTGAGTGTTAAAATTAATGGGGAACCCCTGCCCTACTTCCAACCTACAAGAGGAATAAGGCAAGGTGACCCCTTATCCCCATACCTTTTCATCCTGGTTGCAAACTTCCTGTCCATGATGATGAAAAAAGCCGTGCAAGACGGCACATTAAAAGGGATACGGCTGAATAGAAACTGCCATGTACTTTCTCACCTACTCTTTGCAGATGATTCAATCTTCTTTCTAGATGGGAAGATACAAGAATGCCAGAATCTAGCGAGCATCATAAACCAGTACTGCTTTGCTTCGGGACAAGCAGTCAATTTGAACAAGTCGGGCATATTCTTCAGCAAGGATTGCCCTAGTGATCTAAGAAGGAACATGGCTAGAGAACTAAGGGTCCCGGAGATTGAAAAAACAGGTAAGTACTTGGGAATCCCCTCTGATTGGGGAGCTTCCAAAAAGCAAATGTTTGCTTGGATCTTGGCAAGGGTAAATATGAAGCTCGAAGGGTGGAAAGAAAATACTATGTCTAAAGCGGGGAAAGAAATCCTGATAAAAACTGTTGTCCAAGCATTACTACAATATGCCATGTCAATCTTCAAGATCCCAGTTTCAGTATGTCGGGCAATTGAACAAAAAATAATCACCTTCTGGTAGAAGAATCAAACCGCAACAAAGGGAGTTCACTGGAGGAAAGCCGAAATCCTAAAACAGAGAAAAGACAGGGGAGGCCTCGGGTTTAGGGATTTAATATCCTTTAACAAGGCAATGTTGGGAAAACAGGCTTGGAATCTAGCACATAACCATAAAACTCTGTGTAGTCAGGTGTTAAAAGGTATCTACTACCCAACTAAATGTTTCTGGAAGGCAGAGAAGGGATCCAGACCATCGTGGGGATTGCAGAGCATACTTATGGGAAGAACATCAATTGAAGACTCGGTAATGTGGTCAGTAGGGAATGGACAGAACATCAACATCAGGGAGGATAAGTGCCTAAGCTGGGGAAGGATAGGGGGACCGGCGAATGCAGGGGATCCAAGATTAGTCGCTGAACTGATAAACCAGGAAGAACGCACATGGAAGGAACCAGTCCTGTGAAGGGTATTTGATGAAAAGGTAGTGCGAGAGATCCTCACGATACAAATTAGATAGCAGATGAACGAAGATAAGCTGATCTGAACTGGCACGAGGGAAGGGGAGTACTCTGTTAAAAGCTGCTACCACAACATTCGCAAGAACGAAAACATGGAAACTCAGAGCGCATCCTCCTCCTATCAACCCCCAACTAAGCTCTGGAACAGAATATGGAAAATGAAGACTCCACACAAAATCAGAAATTTCATCTGGAGTGTGTGTCAGAATGCTCTCCCGACGAAGGAAAACCTGTATAGAAGGAAGATGGTACCTGATCCGAACTGCCCATACTGCGGAACACATGCAGAGACGCCGGAACATCTGTTTCTTCTCTGCAGATGGACAAGGGAAGTCTGGGAAGCGCCTGCTCTGAACATACAGAATTCCAAATATCAGATTTCCAGAATAGACGATTGGATGCTAAAATTTTTACCCGGAAAGAACAAAGACTCACCTGGTTTCGAGCTAGTCTCGACCATTCTCTGGGAAATCTGGAAAGCAAGGAATAGCCTAGTATTCAGAAATCATCTCCCGGACCCAGAAGAGTTGATAGAGAGAGGACAACATATGCTCAGGAACTTCAGCAAATGGAACAACACTAACAGGAAAATTGAAGCCGAGACCTGGGATGACAACGAAGCCTGGACCCCTCCAGAAAGAGGAGAAATCAAAGTCAATATAGATGCTGCTTACCAACCTGGTTCATTCGAAGGATCGATCGCCTGCGTGTGCCGTAACTCGTCTGGAATCTTGACAGATGGATTCGTGAAGGATGTCCTCGTCTCCTCCGCCGAGCAAGCTGAGTGTTTAGCTTTGACAGAAACCCTTAATTTCCTCGTCTCGGGCAGGTGACAAATTGACTCTGGAGTCAGACTGCTTTTCCTTAGTCAACAACGTGGAAGCTTCACAGAAACTGCCGTGGGAACAGAGGGCCCTCATTTGTGAAGCACGTGAGCTGCTTCTTTCTTTCTCTAATATTAAACTCCAATATTGTAATAGAAATAGAAATAGGGTAGCGGACTGGGTAGCGAAGGCTTACAGGAAAAAAAAGCTCTCTCAACATTGGTTGACTAGTCCTCCGCAGGCCCTCTCTGAACTGCTTTGTTTTGATACCCCGTTACTGGGTTCCTCTGTCTCTGGTTATTAATGAAAAGCGTTTAGTTCTGACAAAAAAAAAAAATTTGAGTTACCTAGTTGCATTTCTCTTGGCATCACTCTTCATGAGCAAAAACTGAGTGTATTGATAGTGTTGCTTACTCTAGCCTTGTAGCGCGGAAATTGCGGTTTTTTCATCCCGATTGATCACCCCATTGGTGATGAGAACTCCCGCCAAGTCATCTATGGCTCTTGCGAAGAACAAGATTGATTGAAGTCGACCTTCAACAGTGGAAAGAGAGAGATTCCTAATGGGTGGACTGATAATTTTATGGGCGATATGCACTACTATTAGAAAGACGTGGAAACTGATAGAGCTATGATTGCTTGTTGTTGTAATGTTTTGGAGCCGTGATTGGTTGTTGTAGGTGTCTTGTGGAGCTTTAGATTGGTTGTTGTAGGATGAGCTGTGATTAGTGAATGTGATAAGTGGAATGTTTAATTGTTTTGTAGTTTGTTGTCTTCTCTTTTTGTAAATGCAAAAATATAAGTTTAATGAATTCAAGTGTTTAATAATGACTAGATGACTGTGGTTGCTTGGCCAAATGCTTGCTATTAAATGATGACTCGAGGATGATGGTTGGATGACGAGTCGGTGATGACGGTTGCTTGGCCAAATGCTTGCTGTGATGAATGGATGCTTCATATGCTGTTATTGGCCAAGTGCTTGTTCAAGAAAATGAAATGGCCAGGCATTTATGCAAAGGATGAAATAAACTAATGCCAGTGAGCCTGCTTAGCTAATCTAAACAAGAAGCAAATGAATACCATCCACTCCCATAATTCAAATGGACGTGCCACCCGCAAGCAAGGATGTTTTCTCAAGGAAATAGTTCTGGGCAAGTCATGAACATGCAGCTCCTGATCTTACTCTTTAGTTTCTCAGAGAACAGTAATGGAAAATAATCAAGCACAGGTTTCTTGTATGTTTGTCTAAGTGCCAAGACAATGTCTGACGAGCAAGAGGAAGTATGAATGTTCAAGAGCAGGGATGCACCATAACTGATGGCCCTTCATAAATCATTAGTTCCCAAGTAAGAAGAATGCGATCGAATCGATGTTATGGACCCTGGTTTGTTAGAACAAGAGTAAAACTGCAGATTGAGAGTACCAAGAAGAGAGAATTTTGGCAACCACATTGAAATGTCAATATTCATTTAGAGTCGGATAACCGAAGGTATAAAGAAACTTGTTAGGGATGATCCTGCAGGAGGGAAGTGAATATGATCTCCAAAGTACTCATCTCTCAGAGACTAAGACAACATAGAATGTGCGAAAGGTTGAAATCACTAGCTAAATCACTAGCTGATAGATTAGGTGTTGCTAAAACAGATTAAAAGGTTTCCATTAAGATCCACCAGACACATTTAAGATCAGGTTTAGAAGTATGCTTTTGTACAATCCAATCATCCCTGCGCATATGAGCGCCTGGCTAACCAAATTGATATCAGCTTCTACTGTGTCTTCTGTAAGCAAACTGCATCATATCTCATCAACTACGACTATGACAAAATAATCGAGATTGCTCCAGCATCACCTATCCAGACGTCATACACATGTTCTAAGAGTAGTTTTGCTTGAGAAGCTACTTGGAGGTACTAAAAACATGAAGAGAATCAATCAATTTTTAGCAGTCTACAAAAATGACCTGATCAAGAGGTAAACCTAAAAGAGGAGCTCCAGCAACAACAGTTTTCATCTATGATGCACCAAAGAAGGGGAAAAAATTAGCAGCAGCCATTATCTGCTCAACAGACCAAGGGAGCTAAGTATTAGCCATGGACTTCTTCTTCTCTTCCTCAAGTTGCTGCAGCTCAGCTAACCTCTGGGCCCATGCTCTGTCTCTTGCCACTGCAGCCATCTTTCTCTCTACCCGTGCATTTATTTTCTTTCTATTAGCCTCTTGCATTTGAGCTTTTCTTTTCTTCCGTTCGGCCTGTGCATGACTCCAAACAGGTCATTTAGGATAAACACGATCATAAAAGTCAAGCAAGGGGAGAAAAAGCACATCCAGAAGAGCAATGTTACAGGTGAAAAGTATCCCAAGAGAAACATCAATTTTCTGTGAATTTTTCCCTAACCGATGCAAACAATGCTAAATCCATCTTTCTATTAGGCAATGGTCGAAGAGCAGGTGGACTTGATATCCACATTTATTACTCTTGGTAGAAAGGCAGAAAATCCCAACTCAAGTAGCTTCAATTTTTTCCAGTAAATTGAGTATTTTTGCTCTAGCTTGGACCTTAAAGGAACAAAGTTTGATTATTCGACAATGCAATGATCCACACTACCCATTATAACTGTTTTCTAAAAGTCTATGGCGATTGGATTAGATAAATTTCCTCCAATCGTGTCTGTTTATTCGTTGACGTAGGACCATTGTAAGACATAGAACAAAAGGTACTAATGATCCTAGCAAGAAAAGAACTGCTAACTATTCAGACGTTATGAAGACCTTGAAGCTTATTAGATGAATAATACAACCATAACCACAAACTTCTCCAAGGTTCTCTTGTCCGTTTAAGATTCTGATTCCAGAAGCATAATTAGGATGGTACAAGGACTAGAAGAGATATGGAGACATGATTGCATATGCGGTGCCAAGTGCATGAGCAAGCACAGCAAGGCCACTTTTGAGCAACTCAACAGTTGATTAAATTGAGTACAACTATTTAGCGTGTTAGTTCTTTTTATTTCTAAATGCACCAAGATCATGCACAGTATTTGCTCAAAATGCAACTTGTGTTCTGCAACAGCAACTGCCCCGGTGACCTCTTCCCTTACCTTTCTTTCTTAATTGGATTATGTCGAATAAGCATATATATATCAAGGCAGTTAAGTTTTCACTTCATTGGAAAAGGAAAATAAAACCGAGGTTCATTTGTATCATAGATATGACGTTTCTCTGGTTTTAGCTCTTGCTATGTAATACAACGCTTCAGCGACTTCTTAGGAATTATTTCTTCCTTACCCTACCTTGAGGTCAAGGACTGAATCCATGACCTCCTCCCTTCGAAGAAATGAAAACCACTGGCACACTCCTCAAATATACTTCTTGGTTACAAACTTATACAATGAGCTCGAGTGACTTTATTAGGGATGTTCATCTGAAGGAGGTTCTCTGATAGTGGAGGTTGATGGCTGGATAATTTTATACCTCCTTTTTGTATGTTATTACTGTGGAAGTATTAAAACTTATCAATTAGACAGGAAATGCACGTCAAATAAAATTTTTATGCAGACAGATTAAGCTTTAACACATAAAGATAATTGTTTGTTCTAGGGTATCCAGCATTTTACACCCTTAAGAGAATCTTTCAGAAAATACACCCAATTTGACTGAAGGAAAAGTCAAGAAATTTCGTGATTCAAAAGCTCAGAATAGTGGAATGGTATCCTGTTTAAAAAGCGCATGGTGGACTATATTACTCATAAATCTCTCTCTATTGCATGGGTGGAGAATTCTCCTCATAAGTGATGGCAAGATTTAATACTTAATGCACATCAGAGCTTTAGGTCAGTCAATATTTATATAAACTGCATGACGGAGGAACCCACTGAAATATCAGACGAAACTAGTACGAATCCTACACATTGCACAACAGCAGAATTTATGGGTAATCAATAGTAATCAGACCAAAAACTCAACATCCAACCAGAACTCAAAACCCGTAAATCTTAGTAAAAGATGATACTATCCAGCAAATTTATATATGTGCAGGATTCAACTTTCTAAAACAACCAAAATGTTAGAGCCATGGTCTTCAATGTCATTTAGTTTCAAAAGTCGTTATGCACCGGCCAATCAAAGGATTTAGATTCAAACACATATGACGCTTTACAAGGAATGAGGGATAATCAACAGAACCATCAATTACAACCAAGCAAAACTTTCTAACCTTCTAGAGAAGAGTATAAGTATCATCCGTTAGCATACACAAAAGGGCAAAGCCAAATCTCAGAGATTTCAGAAACACAATTGAAGGAATCTCAGATAGACAGCATTGGATCATCAATCATACAACAACAAAGTTAAATATCCAGGGAAGTTCAAGTAGCAGCCATAAAATTTGAACGAGCACGCACCGCTATAAAAGCATGGCGCTGCTTGATGCGCTTTTTTTCGTTCCTCCTCTTGACGCTTCCTTCATTGGGATTATTTGGAAGTATGGGTTCACCTGGAACATACTGAACCCACGCATACGGACCTACAATACTGGAAACATCAAATGCACTTTTCTAACTCCACCTTGAAACTACGAGGCACACTGGCAAGTAGCTTCTAACTCCGCTTCAACTCCACCCAATGCAATCACACACATCTAATGAAATTTACAGGAAAACCACATTGTTCAATTCGACATAAACACAACCAGTTAGCTTCAAAAGTATCCGAGGCAGAACCGGTCTTCTTCAACCAATTACAGAACATAAGAACGAATACCATTGAATAGGGGAGAGACAAAAGAGAGTAGACAAACCCGGGGGTCTTAAGCTGGCCCTTTTGCGACGGGGCTTGTCGACGGGCCTTCTCTTGGGATATCGCGTGTCAGTCAAGCTGTGGAAGTGAGAGCACGCTTGACTCCATGGAGTCAGTAGCTTCGACAGCGAGCTCCTGCCATAGAGGTGCTGGGAATCAGGCTTGAGAGGTGCAATTCGCAACTGGTTCGTCGCAGAAGAGATGAATGCGCGGGATTGCAGGGTTCTGGAGAGCGGTTGAATTATGTTTCTTAGGATTCCAAACCCCATTTCGCTCACTGCGCAGAGGAATCAGGTTTCTCCTTTACCTACGGCTCGATACACAAATGAAAAAAAAAAACGCCACTTACGATCACCAACAGGTAAAAGAAAAGAGCAAACACCTCAAAAAACAAGAAACCCAACTCAACATCCACCCTTACAAAGCCGATACCATCAAGACGCGATTAGATAAAGAAAAAGGGAGAAACCCACTTCGTCGAAACTGAAATGCATCACGAATTGGATCCAAAGTAGATAGTGGACCTCGAAATCCAACCCCACAAGGAACGAAACGAACAAGAAACCAAACCTACTGAGCAAACGGTCCTGACTGACCAACACGTGTTTAGATTGAAAGATCGAAACGGGGGGCTTACGAGAAGCTGGGGGGAGCAGGACGAAGCCGCCCGAGGATGGTGGGACACGATCGTCGGCGGCGGATTCAATGGGAAGGGCACAACGGGAAGATTCAAGATTCCGGCTGCCAAGAGAGGTGCAGAAGAAGAAGAAGAGGGTGTGTAGGGAAAGTGAGAGAAGAGCTCGCAGTGGGGGAGGTGGGTTTTGGAGCGGCAGCCCGTCGTTTCGCTCCGGCTACGGGCAAGAAGAAGCAGAGGGGGAGAAACGAAGAGGAAGCGAGAGCGAGAATGTGAGTGGGGTTTATAGTTTGCCCTTTTTTTTTTTTTTTCTAATTTCACAAAAAAAAGCACCAATTTTATTTTGAGTCATAAACTATTTTTATCTCCATATAAAATATTAACTTTTATTCGCGTCTCAAATTTGACCCCTTGTGATGTGAAATTTTTAAATTATTTGAATAAGATTTGAGACTTAAGTGAAAGTTGATGATTTTTTATGAGACAAAAAAATTCGGACCAGAATTGACATTCAAGGTAAAATTAGTGCTTTATTTTTTTTTTAATTAGGCCCTTCTTGTGTAGGGTAAAAGATAAAATTGTGTTACTACTATATTCACATTTCAACCCAACCCATGATTTTTCGACCAAAACACAAAACCCAACCCATGATTTCGAAAAAAAAAAAAACCCAACCCAGCATAAAAGGGGAAAAATATAGTGTAGGAGAAAATTTTGTTATCATTTAATATTTGATAAAAGGATCTCGTTAAAAAGTGTTCGAGACACAAGTAATCGAACTATCTGATATAAAGTATTCAAATATGCTACAATCATTTTTTATTAATACTCGATCTCTCTTCACCTCTCTCTATCCATAGGTTTAAGCTTATAACTTATGGATTAGACTTCTTAACATGCTCTTTATATTTTTTTAAAATGCTCATTCTATATGTGTGTGGTCTCACTAAATATAAAAACTCAAGGATTGGGCCTTCTATGAAAATCAGACATTTTCTTAATATGGTGTGTTTGTTTCGGATAAAATTTCATGATAAAGAAAAATATTTTTGTGAAAATTATTTTTGAGAAAAATGATTGATTTTTATTTATTTGGTTGTATATCAAAAAGTGTGACAAAAGATGTTTTCACGTGGGTAGATTTTATTTGAACAATGATTTCGATCTCACGGATTACTCTAAAATCTGTTTAATCGATTAATATATTACAATAGTCCTCTCGCCTTTCTAGCAATGGCTTCCAACTCAAACAACAAACGGACGAGAAAATTAGATCAGCTTCATTACTTCTTTCCCTCACAATAATCCAAGTAGTACCTGAACTCAACACTCCATTGTTGGTTCTAGTACAGATAACTGTCTTCATATTATACATCAGGCTAAATTGAGTCACAAGGAGCTACTTGCGTAGCAGCAAGTGCTCAAAGAACAACGAGTCAATCGTTCATGTAGAATCAAGAATTAACATGCAAACTCTAATATTTGACGTAAAGATTGTGAGTTTCTTCATTTTCCAACTCTAGGTCAATATCCACTTTACTTTCTCTTGTACGAGAGAAGTTTTCGAGCCATAATTTTATGGGTTAATACCATGAAAAATCTAAAATTGGTACACTTGTCACAAATTTATCCAAAATTAATTTTTTGACTACCAAAAATCACAAACTGGTAGATCTGTGACAAATTTACCCAAAACTAATTTTTTGACCTCCAAAAACCTCAAATCGATACACTTGTGACAAATATAGCCCCCGTTAGTTTACGTTAAATTGGATTAATACCACGAAAAATCACAAATTTTTAATACACCTGTGACAAACGGAGGGTAAAATCCCAAATTGGTTACCCGTTAACTCTCATGTGTCATCCAACTCAGCAATTGACAGTAAAATTTAACGAAAACTAATGAGAGTAAATTTGTCATAAGGATACTAGTTTGAGATTTTTTGTGGTAAAAAAATTAGTTTGGAGTAAATTTGTCATAGATGTATCAGTTTGGAATTTTTTCGTGGTAATGACCATAAGTTTATTTCTAATATACTAATCTTTTTAATCCTAAATTAAACTAGAGATTACCATTTTATTTTCTAAACTATGTTTGTACTAACTAAATGAAACTAAGCTAAATCTAATACTAAGATCTAACTATCAAAACCTATTTTCCTAATCTTTTTCCAATTTTTATTATTTTAGATTTATTATTATTATTATTATTATTATTTTTATACTTATAATCGTGGGCACATTCTCAGCAAAGGTTCTCGGACATGCCATTAAACTTCAAGCAACAGTACGAGCGTGGAAGGCTCTCACCGATCATTTTAAGCATGATTCGGTGACTCGTGAACTTGACCTCCTTTGACAACTTCAACACATCAAGAAAGAAAATAATCCTTTATCTATTTATCTTTGTGACTTTAAATCTATTTGCGATCAATTGCATTCCATTGGTCCTAATGCTAATAAAGTCTTTAGATTACTTGAAGGACTTGATGATAGCTATGAGTCATTCAAAACGACTATGTTTAGGCATCCTCTTCTATCTCATACTGAAGTGGTTGCACAACGTCAAAATTATGAGTTATGAAACAATCGCACTTCAACCATGCTCCCAAATAGTTCAAATGGCGTTTATCTCGTAGCGACGCAATGTTGGCTACAAAAACAACCCCATAGGAAGGAGTAGAGGACCCACATTTAATTCTAGGGGTCACAAATTTTCTCAGAAAAACTAGAATGGTCAGCACTTTTTCAGGAAATTGCTATACTACTCAGCAAATCAAAATCGTTGGTGCACTGCCAAATTCAAACTTAGGGTTGCCGTCTCTTATCCGTAAGATCCGTAAGAAGAAGGGGCATGATGCATTGAATTACTAGTATGTTTTGACAATAGTTATCAGAGTATTAATATACCTAGCGGACTAGCTGCTCTTCATATCTCAAACTCATAAGATGAAGAATGGCATTCGAACACCGGTGCTATACTCATATGACTGATAATCTAGGCAATCTTGTGAACGTAGTTCCTTACAATGACCATGATAATGTGGTAGTTAGAAATGGTACATCATTGCCGATTACTCATGTTGGGATTGGTCAACTTGGCAGTGAGATTGGTAAGTTTTCACTTAATAATGTTATGGTCATTCCATAAATTAAAAAAATCTATTATCTGTTTCTCAATTGACAAGAGATTATCCTTGCTATTTTGAGTTTGATGCCTCTTGTTTTTCTATCAAGGACTCCAGGATACATCGGGTATTGCTGACAGGAACTAATCATCAATGATTATATGCTAATAAGGACCTGCATCCCATGGCATTCTTTTCCCAGAGAAACAAGGTTGTTGATGAACTTACGTGGCATCGCCGATTAGGCCATCCAAATAGTCATATTTTACAGCTTTTCCAGTCTGATGATTTGATTTTAGTAAATAAATCAACTGGCACTTTATGTACAAGTTGTTAGATTAGTAAAAGTTCAAGATTACCATTTTCTTTATCTGAATCTTGATGTTCCCATCCACTGGAGCAAATACATTGTGATCTTTAGGGATCGAGCCCAAATCCTTATGTGCAAAAATTTCGATATTATGTTGTATTTATTAATGATTTCTCTTGATAATGTTGGTTGTATCCATTGAAACGAAAGTCAGATTTCTTTGAGATATTTTTATGGGTTAATACCATGAAAAATCCTAAACTGGTACATTTGTGACAAATTTACCAAAAACTATTTTTTTGACCACAAAAAACCCCAAACTGGTACACCTGTGACAATTTTACCCCGAACTATTTTTTTGACCATCAAAAACCCTAAACTGGTACACCTGCAACAATTTTACCCTGACCTAAATTTTTAATATTATTTTTTATTTTTTTGAATTTTTTTATTTTTTCTTTTCTTTTCTTTTTCCTATCCTTTTTTTTTTTCCCTTCATCTTCTTTATCTTCAACCTATGGCCGGTCGCCAGTTCGGCGATCGGCCAGAGACGGGAGCCGACGAGGTCGGCCCCACCGGTCGCTAGCGAGGCCAACCTCGCCGTTGTTGGGCGAGGCTGACCTCGCCGGCAAATGGCGAGGTTGGCCTTGCCCACCCCTGGCGAGGTTTGACCTCGCCAGTTGCCGACGAGGGGTCGTCCTTGCCGTCGCTAGCGAGGCTCGGCTTCACCGGTCGCTGGCGAGGCCAACCTCGCCATCGCTCAAAAACCAAATCGATGGCCAGCGCAACATATCAGAACGCCACAAAAGGTGGGGATTCGGCGTACCGTCTTGGATTGGTAGGGCTTCTCGCAGGAGCTGCAGACAAGATTGAGGACGGCCTCGGTGGACTCGGAGAAGTTGGAGTGAGAGGTGAGCTCGGCGTGCCCTTGAGCTTCCTCCACAGACTTCAAGAGGGCGCCGCAGTTGCCGCACTTGAGAGAGAACGCCGGCCATGGCTCTGGTCCTCTTATCGGGGAAGGGAAAATCGAGAGAGAAACGCTTCGCGCTTGGAGCGATGCAACTTCGAGATCGCCGGACGGAACAGTTGGGATTTCGCCGTCGCTAACGAGGACGACCCCTCGCCGGCAACTGGCGAGGTCGAACCTCGCCAGGGGTGGGCAAGGCCGACCTCGCTAATTGTCGGCGAGGTCGGCCTCGCCTAGCAACGGCGAGGTCCGCCTTGCCAACGGCCGGTAGGGTTGACCTCGCCGGCCCTCGCCTTTGACCGGTCGCCGGACCAGCGACCGGCCATAGGTTGAAGATAAAGAAGATGAAGAAAAAAAAAAGGAAAGGAAAAAGAAAAGAAAAGAAAAAATAATAATAAAATAATAAAAATTCGAAAAAAAAATAATATTAAAAAATTAGGTCTGGGTAAAATTGTCACAGGTGTACCAGTTTGGGGTTTTTGGTGGTCAAAAAAATAGTTCGGGGTAAAATTATCACAGGTATACCAGTTTGAGATTTTTTATAGTAAAAAAAATAGTTTGGGGTAAATTTGTCACAAGTGTATCAGTTTAGGGTTTTTCGTGATATTAACCCTATTTTTATCTTTTAGAAATTAGTTGAAAATCGGCTTAATATGAAAATTAAAGTTTTTTAATCTGACGGAGGAGGTGAATTCATGAGCAATAATTTTCTCACACATCTTCGTGAATGCGGCATACGACAACAACTCTC